CGCTGAAGGGCTTTGCATATTTATTATACTACAGTGACCGGTGATTGTAGTAGCCGTCATCTGAGTGCACTTTGAGAAAAACCTAACTGTCACAATCTTTTTAGGACAATCCAGCACACTGCACCTGAAATTCCTGCTGCATAGCTGCAACATCATGAACATACTTTTATCAAAAATTTTATTTTAGTTGTTTTTCAGTGCTTCCACAAAAAGAGCAAAGGCAAAAATATTACCATATGCATGTCTAGTTTGCTAGCCTGCAAAGAAGGAAGGGAATATGTATAGAGACTTGTGGATGATAATTACTGTTGCTCACAACATAAGTGTAGAAAATCCAAAGCGATATTTTAGGCATGTTAACTGCTCTCTTTTGTAACTATCATATTTTAGGCATGTTAACTGCTCTCTTTCGTAACTATCATTGAGAACTTTTTTAATGACCAATAAAAAAGTGTTGTGCAAAGTGTAACTGGCCGATGTCTGCTCATCTGGAACAGCATATGTTTCTACAAGGCTCCAGCTCTTCTTCAAACATACTAGGCCTACACAGTGCCTTTATTTACCCTGTGCCAATACATTTATGTCTTAAAAATTAAGCAGAAGGCTTACACAGTTTTCTTGACAGGTACAAATGATGATGGGCGAGGGCAATATTAAAAAACAGTAGCACTTAATAAAGCTTCATGCATTACAAAAAACATGTTTAAAGCTCACTTGAAAGTCTTGCGGAATAAAGCATGTCAATGAGTCAAAAGTAACACGTAGCACCGAGTTGTACGACATATTTATTCCTGCTAGTACTACTTTATCTATAGGTTAAGCTACTGTTCACACAATGTGGTACAGCAGTATAATGGTACCATTCTTTTGGTATGTCCGAACCACCGTGTCTTGTTTTAAAGGGCACCATTACTAGCAGCACAACAATTGCACCTATTGCACCAAATTACACAAAAGAGATACTTTGCACCAATTTCAAATGCTGTTTTAGCATAAAATCTTGCCAAGCCTATGGCCTGGAAGTCTCAAAGCTTCCTTGCGAATAAAACAAACCAAAACATATATATATATCACTATCCCAGAGGTAAAGAGCTTTTGCCTCCCTTTTGCTGTTTTTCTTCTGTGGCATTTATTTGTGGCTGGAGCCAATCTGCTGATGCCGTAGATTCATACGTCTGTGTTGTCTGCGGCACAGTTTTATTTTCCTCATAACGAGTACTATCTGTCAATAGTAACAAGGTCACCGAGAGCAAGGATTGTATATCCGCACATACAAGAACAGGCAAGATCTTTGCATATAAGATACTTAGCTCAGTTTCATCACCTGGCCCAGCAAGATGTTTACTCAAGCAAATCAGTGAGCAGCTGTCTGTGGTAGTGACCATTAACAGTGTGAGGGTGCAGCATTCAGTAAACACTGTTGCGTATAATCAGATTAAACATGTAGAAGCTCAACAGACCAATGTGCTCCCTTTCTTTTCCCATGGCCCTACAGAGTTTCAATGAATTGGCAAGCTCAAACTTGAACCACCAAACTACAACTGGTAACTGTATGAAGTGCAATGGTCCTCAATGGTTTCAATGACCGCGAAAAATTCCCAGTGTCCCTTATGTACTCACCTTGGACAACTCAAAAGTGAGAACCATGCTCCTTTTCTCCTCAGTTAATTGTATTGAACCTTACCCCTCCCCCCCTGCTCAAGTTTTCTGCTCGTCACGAAACATTGCATTGGCTCTGTGATTGGCACTCCTTTGACAAAGTGATATGCCATGCTATTACTTTGACATATGGCATGCCGATGTCAAAAATTTATACGATCTACCACGTCATGATGACCATGAACAGCGCCCTTACTGGAATTGAAGTTTTAGATCCAGAAATAATTGGCATAAAGAACAATGTAATATGCAAGAAACTGTAGCACTTCTTTTCTCATTAGCCCTTGTGTGAAGCTAAACCTTGCATATACAGGCTGTCTGTTTCAAGATTCCCTGTACACCAGAATGGACCTGTTCTGTTCTGAACAGCGCCTTTAACGGAAGCCATCAAAATTAAAAATGGGGGTTTGTGACCTCTGAAGTTGTGCGCCACACACCAATAAGACATTTTCTGGAGCTTGGATGCGCTTTTTTTTCTTTCGGCGTACTATATTGAAAGTTTGCTGCGCCAGTTGTAGTTCTGTTTCTTGATGTTCGCATTCTTCCTGTCGCCGCGCTGCGACACCCTTGAAAACATTGCGTGCATCTAGCCACCACTGTCACACTTTTGCAGACAGTGGAAAAGCTAAACGTTTTCTTCCTTCTCGTGCTGCATGAATTAAAATTGGTAAGAAAAGGTATATATATATGTTCACAGAACTACAAAATATCTTCAGATGTTTCAAGTTGTACTTTGTAGTAGCACTGTACATTAGTAATACATTTTATGCATGGTAGTTGAAGACACATCACGAGCAATATCATGTCTCGCCTACACTTCATAACACTGAAAACACAAAAGTGAAGAATTTTGTATTTATTACCGCTCTGTCACAAACAAGTGTACATGAGCTTCTGATAAACAGTGAGCATTATTACTAAAATAATATGGCTGGAATGCACCACATTCTGCATGGTATTTGGCCACAGTGAAGTCCCCACAGTTCACATGTTTGAAGAGTTCAGAGAAAGCACGAGGCTTCAAAAAGCTGTTCCATACTTTCGCCTAAAATCCGAAAACGGAATAGTGCTTTCCAGTTACAGGTCATAAATGTGAGGAAAGCACTTCACTGTAACAGAACATGGAGCACATGCAAAACGTTCAAAAAATATACATGTGTCAAACAGAGACTTGTCGAAAAAAACCTGACATCAGGGGAAAACACTGCCATCAACCTCATTTGCACATGGTGCGCAGCAACATACCTCATAATTGAACGTTGAGTTTGAATAAGATGCAGTAAACACAAATTCAATGACTGAATATAGAACGACAAGCTTTACACGTATCTTTTGTTATTGGGCTGATAAAGTAAAAATGTCATCATTAGGACTATCAGCCTGTCATTTCTATGGCTGACAATGCCCATGGATGATCATCGCAGATGCTCCACTGAACATTACTATGGCTCTCAGCATACCACCTTCCTCTTATCAAACAAGGCAGTCTGTAAAAATTGCCACGTTGCTCTACAATGTTGTGCAATTCTGGAAGTGCTGGAGAGCTGATATGAGTGCGGTGGCCTGTTTAGAATTCTAAACACTGCAGTACCTAAAATAAAGAGTATATAGTTACTTGCAAAAAGAAGCTGCAGTTCAGATGAGACTAGACAGATGCAGTTGCATGGGCAATGGCAGTGACAAGAGTACATACACTCTTGCACCACTACGGTTCACCATTAAACCATGAAACAGCTCACAAAAGAAAGGGTACATCAATTGCAGCACTACAAACACTGTAAATGTAAACTTAGAAACACAGTCCTAGGAACATTGAGAAACTAAACATTGGCACACAATCAAAACAAGTCATCCAAAATAACCTTCCCCCAAACCATCACGTGTGACCATAATGTTGCAAACCATAGTGTAAAGTGCTGAATGTTACATAATGAGGAAGGCCTGGTTGACTCTTCGAATTAATCAAGTGTGCCTATGGCCGCAAATTTTGCAGAGTAGGACATGTTGAAACAAGTAGAGCTCAAAAACGCATTAGGGCACTAAACTGGCCTGTTTTGTACACACATAAATATGTGCATTGTTTGATGATGCTATGCAGAGAGTTTAAAATTTACACAAACAGAACAGTTATAGGCTACAATTTGTAACAAGTCAATCCATGAAGTATGCCTTCATGTACCATCAAAGTGATAGGGAGCACCAGCAGTATGCTGCCTTTCTTTTTCATAATTTTGACTGATTCATAATGAAATATATACACTGAAATGGGCAATCAGTTCAATTCGACATTATAAGAAGACACCACTCGGAAAATTCCACCTCTATTCAAAACTTTAACACTAACAATCTAGCAGTTTTGATAAAAGAACCACATATACCTAGCAATGCAACATTCAGCTGAATTCTTTGATCTCGGCTGCACTCAAAAGCAGCTGACACAGTTCTCATGAACATATGGTGCAGGTCACAGTTTCCACGTAGAAACACCACTAAGAGAAAAAGTTGTACTGCAAAGTACTAAAATGATGACATGCACTATAATTAAATAATGAATGTGGATAACGAAACGCAATGCTACTGCTATACCTGCTCGATGCTTCACAGCCTCTAATGCAAACGACAGGAGAGCAAAATGACCTTGAAGGCAAGACAAAATATTTGCCACACGCAACTGCCTAGTAATGAGGCCTCACAAGATATTAATTTAGCCGTACAGCCAGATAGTATTATGACCTGGAGTCAGCATTACACACACTGTGCAAATAACGGCCATCTTGTGTCATAGCAAAATGAAGAACTGCATAAAAATGGTGTCCCCTTACAACAGTTCACCACGAGGCATAGACAGCAAACATACACCCGGGACAGCAAGCAGAACCTGAGGGCAGTACCACATTGTAATGCTGCATTATCGGTGGCAAACATAGCTGCATCACGCTTCAGACAATGACAGCACTGGATGATGGCATTAGTGAGTGTAGTTTGAAAAAGGCAAGACCACAGACTTGAACATGAATTTTTTAAATGCCACCAATAGCTGCCACAGGAAAACTTCTAAATGTCTCAAATTGCCATGAAAACTCATTGCCTTTGCAGTGCAGTGCTCAAGCCATACACAAGCTTCCTCAGTCGAAATGGCCCCTCGTCTCTCGCACTATGCTGGCACAGTTTAACTGAACGGCAAGCGGCAATAGCGCATCGAGGGTTCCTCACAGCAATAGCAAGCTCAGGGAATGTCACGCCACAGTATAAAGGTGCACTACCTGATTACAGAGAGTGAAAAATTACAGATGCCAATGTTTTTCTTTCCACAAAAATTGGCATCCTGATCTCTGTGAACAAATGAGCAATTTCCTCCCCTGGTAAATACTACGTTCTGTGGGAGCCCACTGGATTTCATGGACATGAAGTCAAGAATGTTCTTACCCAGCCTATAATAAATACCCACAACACAACACATCCATACACATAAAAGTTCCTTTGGCTTTAAAACTCTTCGGCATTTCACTGCCGGTGACCTCCGCACAAAGTCTCCAAAAATGACGGGAGACAGTAATGCAGGGAAGACAGCAGACTGTGTTCCACGGCATAAAATCGGTCTGGTCCACTTTGGTTACTGCCCACAGTTGCAGTCTAGTTAAACAGTGGCAGGTTGTAGAAGTCGTAGCCACGGCACCCTTTCACAGCGCAATATACATACACCACGTGGTATGCTGTAAAGATGCAGACAAACAGGTTACCATTAGTACAGGAAAGGTCTTGTGCAATGCAGTGTAAATGGATGCAGCATATAAAATGATTTTTTATTGGGTCATATATTGGTCCTTTATTTACTAAACATTGTATATATCAATTTTTCATTTACTAAACATCAATTCACAGAAGTGCAGATGTTAGTGAGACAAGCATTTATAAGTTTACAAGCATAATTTTTACTTTCAGCGAAAACAAACTTGCCTCCAGGAATGAAGCAAATGGCACCAGCAATAAAGAAGACCAGACCTTGTACACCTGTGGATGAAACGAAAGCATGTTGATGTCAGTGCACCATTTCTTTGATGACCCAGTTGATAAATTAAAGTGAAGTAATATAGCAGCCTGTTCTTACCAACTCTAGGCAGTATTTGCACAACTATCCCAGTAGCAATGAGGCCTGCAAGATCCAATGCACGCAACTTTACACCACGAAATTAAGTATGCCACACCTTTAGTCAGTATATGTGAATATCAGCTGCCTGATAACTGTACAGCACTATTACAAACAGGTGGACGACTATTTTTTCCTTTCACAAAAGATGTTTGGTTAATATCATTTGGCAAGCATGTTGCATATGCTGGGTACAAAAAAGTTCATTGGCCAAATGTGTTAGTTTCAAAGCAATAAACACACCACTTGGGATGACACTACTTTGAAGGGGTGTCATTAACTGCTCAGGGTGCATAGGCTGCAACACAATACGGCATATTGCGTTTAACACCTTCCCAACGAAACATTCATTTCTTGGCAAAGTTTATCTTCGAAATCACTCATTTTCATACTTGCACAGGAATCGCTGCATGACGTGAAGTACCGACCAACGTCGCTATATTATGCAATTTTTTCACGAGCTGAAAAGAAGACGTCGATTATAATGAAATGAAAACAACGCAATTTTTTCACACGGGGACAAAAGTAGACGCGAACAGCGTTAATCTGAGTCGCTTACTTTTGTTCCCGTGTGAAAAAAATCACTTTCCATTTCTGTACTGAAAACCAACTAGCTCAAAGCACTACACTTTGAGCAGCAGTTCAGTAATGAGCAGCAGTTCAGAATTTCAGAGCAGCAGTTCAGAGCAGCAGTTCAGCAGTTCTGAACTTTGAGCAGCAGTTCAGAATAACGAACAAGTCAAGCACTCAGATGAATATAAAGATGTGAATAGTAGGCAAGGGCGAATGTCAATACACGTGATTGAAGTGTAACATATAACTGAACGCGACTCACCTAGGCCAGTGAGTAAAAGGCCAAAAGCGGCCAGCATCACTTTCCAGTTTTCGCGCACTTTGGGGTGCGTCCACCACCTGTACGTTTCAAGAAGTCAGAGGTAAACGAGGGCTGTTTGACAGAAAAGTACGCGACCCAAATCGCACATCGACCACGTACCCATCTCTGGCGTCGTATTTCTGGAAGTTAGGGTCACACTGGATCAAGGAGTCGCTATCCTTTGACAGGTTCTGAAAATTGACCGCGAACGGTTAGTGCCGACGTCGTAAAAATGTTACGCGCAGGGTCGACTGTCATCGAGGCCAGTACGCAACGCCCGCATGACTCACGTCTTCAGGAAGCTTGAGCCTGCTGAGTGGTTTGTTGCTGCTTCGGTCCTTGCTGGGTTCTTCGACCCGAACAACGACGCTGTCGGTGGCTGTCATGGCCTGCTGCTGCTGCCGTGGTTTCAGCGGCGTGCTCTCCGTCGTAGAACCGTACGTGCGGACAATGTCATCGTCATCTGGGTCAAAGGCATCGTCGATTGTGAAATTCGACTTCCCAGACATTTCACCCTCGCACCTGCTCCCAAGTTGGCCCCCCTAAACGTTTATTTTGGTCTTTTCTTTCATCGGGATGCGCACGGGATGCGCGCAATACGACGTCACAGGCTACGTCATTGTCTTTAACATTTTTAACTTTGAGAAGTATTTAGTGCCAGTGCTTCGTCCTATTTTAACTTAGAAAAAATATTTTTCAGAAAAAAAGACACATAATTGTTACGTTGTAATAGCGAAAACGAGTGTAGCGTATTGCGTGCTTTGGCGCTGCAGGTTAGAGAGATTCCAAGCCGTTCTTGCGCGATAAATCCAAATTCTGACAATCCAGTCGGTTGGCGATCCAGTGGTTCTGTCATTAGCAAGTACCATTTCTTGCAGCTTGAATTTTTCCATCGAAAGAGGGAAGCATACACGTCAAAGGTACTATACAGATATTTCAAGTTTTTGTTCGCACATTTCTGCTATCGATGGCCGTATCGTATCAGAGTTTTGTGTGCGCGTGGTCTTATCTAGATCGCTCGCGCCGTGCGCGTTCTGAAAGTTTGTTTTTACTGGTGAACAGTGCACACTCTGCGTTTGCTTATCGTAATGAGAGGCAACTCCACGTGCAAAAGATGCGTGTATTGTGATCTGCAATAAAGCTTTCCAGCCACACTTTGACAGCCATGAATTGGCTTATTTGTACCACGTACTGATAGTCTATGCGGCAGCAAGGTTCTGTGCGGCTACGGAATAACAGAACGTTGCCTTGGAATAAATGTAAAAAGAGGTCATGTTTCTCTGTCGAAGATGGTGTTCTACGGGAAAAAAAATTTCTGTTCTACGGGAAATACGACGCGCGCCATAATTTTTTGGCAGCATTGTGACTTCTCTTACCGGTACTCGTAGTTTCTTTTTATGTTTCTCAGTGCTGTGCTCATCAAAGAGAATTCAAATTTTATGGCATGAATTTCTGGGATTTGTAAACGAAGCAAGGAAATTGAGTGTGTTGTCGGTAAATTTGTAAGATGTAAAACGTTTATTGTGACCTCTAGGCTCTGTGAAAAAAATTACTGCATACACGATCGAGTGGATTCACGAGAAGGAAAATAACACAGCTTGTGATGCAGAAATTGCGTTGCTTGCCTTGTTGCGTAAAATGTCTCAGGCATGCTCGCGCTAATGTTATGGGCCACCAGTTTGTTCACTGTTACGATCTGTGTTCCGAAAGTGCTAACGCTCTTGCGTCATTTTCTGGCTTTACAGAGCATGTCCACAGATGAGCGACACCTGCTCATCATGGTTGAAAGGTTGCCCGATGAGATTGCACAAGTATACAGCCGAACAAAACACAAGAAGCCATCTCAGCACAGAAACTCCTTCAAGCATCGCAAGTTGAAAGACAAAGGTGGAGACCATGGCGAAAGCGATGGTGAAGTATTGTCTCCGGCGGCACGTGAAAGCAGAAAGCCCACTACTGTGTCACCGTCTCGTCTGCCTATGTCATTGCCAATGTACAGTCGTAGCATTAGTTTGCCATTAACGCGCGAGGAGAAAACAGAAGCCTGCAATCAGAGTTTGAAAGTCAAGGTCAAAGTCGAGCCTAGAGTGAAAGTGAAGATTAAATCAAACAAAAGAGGAGGGTCTCATGAGTCAAACAAGGTGTTGCGGAAGATCAAGATACGCAGGATCTCCAATGATGTGTTGCCTCCCAGCACACCTGAAACTGATGCGAACCCTGATGTGAAAGCTCTTTTTACCAAAGATGATGAAGAAGGTAGTAGCAAAGAACCATCTGAAAAGTATGAAATTGTTTCATCATCTGGAAAGGTAACAAACGTTCATGAGGAATCTGGTGCCGCTAGTGAAGAATCTGGTGCTGCTAGTGTGTTTGAGCAGACCACTGTTACGAAAGGCAACGTCGAGGCCTGGCTTAGAGGTCATGTTGGTGAGTCAAGCGAAGGAGTAAAAGAAAACACAAACAGCTTTTCAGAAGAATCAGTCTTCAAGGAAACTAACACATCAGATGAATCTTCAGTCAACCAAGACACTGAGTCGTATAACAGTGACCATGAGGAGGAGCTAGTGGAAAGTGATGGGACACAGAGAACAGAGATTGATGCCGCCGATTGCACAAGTTCAGACACTGAGATTGATGAGGCAGAACAATGTCAGCCAGAAGTAGCCAGCTTCGTTGATGTAAATACTGCAGCATCGATGTCGGATGAAGAATCCTCTCATAGCGACATGCTGCGCGAGTGCTCTACTGCATTGGAAGACATAGTGTCAGAAGTGTGTGCCAAGAAAAATTTGCCAGTAGAAGAAGATGGGGACAGCTCTGATAATAACTGTGCTGAAGACATGGCGACAGAAGCAGGGCTGCGTGATTCACCTTCACCATCTGTGGAAATGAAAGACACATCAGCACAACCAAGTGAGACAATAGAAGAAGCAATCATAGCTGAAGTACTTGATGACTCTGATGAATTGTGTGTTGTTGAGCAGAACCAAGCTGTGTTGCCCATAGATGTCATTGACATCACTGATGACACAGTTGTACTGACCTCTCTAGTGGGAGAATCCCAACCATGTGCAAGAACAGATGTGCCACCTAATTCATCTGCAAGTGACCCAAACTCCGGCAAAACATCACGTGCGGTGACTGTTGTAGACCTCACGAGTGATGACGTTGACTGCTATGTTGTCAGCCCTGAGAACTGTAATGATGAGACAGCTAACCCTGAAATGACAACTGCCCCTGAGGTGACAGTGTCACCTAAGGCAACGACCCCTGAGATGACAGGTGCTGCTGAGGTGACTGCCTCCACGGGCATGACAGGGGTCTGCATGGCAGCGGCCAAAGAACTTGATCAATTTGCTAACGAGACCATTTCGGAGAGTTGGGACGTAGAGGCAGAGTCGATCCTAGAGTGTGCAGGAGAATATTTAGGCCACCTAGAAAAGTGTTTGACAAGCCTGGATCTAATGCAAGAAGCAATGAAGAGCATGCTTGTCACTTCACTTCAGAAAAAGGGTCATGTGCTCAAGCAAATCTTCGTGCTGCTGAAAAAATTGCTTCGTCACCCTGAGCAACTGAATAGAGTACAATCTATAGAATCTGGCTTTTGTGTTCTTTTGGGAATCGAAACCTCATTGAAAATGTTGCCCGGCTCTCAGATCCCTGGCCTAGAAGAAAAGGAACCAAATAACGCTACCAAGGCTCTTATCCAACGACTTTCAATTGCAGTAAATGATGACCACGCAAGAGTCCCAGTCAAAACGACCTCTATAGCCCAAGAAGTTCCTTCGGTTGAGCACAGACTTCCACAGCGGGCAAACAGCGCAAATGAATGTAGTATGAATGCTGTCAATGCGAGGTACTTTAGAGGGAATTTCGTTCCACCACCATATCAGCGTCCACGAATGACATGGAGGAATCTAGTGGCTGTTGCCAATAGAGAGCGCCAATGTGCAGCATTTAGGGCTGCAACTGCCACTATGCCAATGGCTTTGCAGGGAAGTCAAAGGAGACTTCCACTAAGGATGCCATCATTAATCCAAAGCAATAGAGTAGCAGCACCAGCAATTTCCCGTGTAAATTTGAGAGCCGCGTCAGTCTTCATTGTGACAGGTCATCGTCGTCACAGTCAACATGCGGTGTTCCACAACAGCAACTCATCTCAAGAGGCACAACACAGCAGCTCAATTCGAAAAGCACTACAGTATCGTGAGTATAGTGTTTCTCTTGCTAAAGAATCTTCCACACACACATGTAGAGAAACGAAATGATAGTCTAATTTTGTTATGATGAAGTGATATCTGGCTCAACGATATTATATGCTTTATTACTTTTGTGCTGATGCAGGGTTAGGCATGGCTAATGTTTAGTAAAACATATTGCAGATCTTATCGATGTGCAATTAATACAATGTTGGTGCAGCGAAAAAAATCACAGCATATCCACGGAGTGAATAATGATGAGTGGAGCGAAGTTTCGGAGGGTTTTATCGGCAAGCTGTCAATCATCCGCTGGCCGCATTCGTCTGTCCGTCTGTTTGTTGGTCCGTCCATCTAGTAAACACTCCAAGTACCGTCATCCAGTAGACATTCCAAGGACTAAAACTAGAGGTGGCTACCACATGCAGGAGACGCACGACCCACGCCTTAAGGAGCTTTGCCCCTAGAAGCAACAGACGAGTGCACCTGTCCCTGTTGACTTAAGCTGTCTTTTGCTGTGCCACAAATCTAGTATTAGTCTTATGCTTACTTGATTAGATCTGGTAATGCCAATGTTAGTCACATTGAGGTTTGTCTGTATATTTAACTAAAGGCTAGAGGTGTACTTAGGGAAAGAGATGAGTAGGAGCATAGATGTTATGGTGGCTTACCATAGGAACTCCACATTTGTACCTTGTGTCCTCGTAAACTCGCCACCTTAGGACTGCACTTCTCCCAGAGTGCCATCAGTTTTGCCTGCAGGAGATGATGCACCTATAAGGTTTGTATACCGGCTCACTCGCTTCCTGTGAGCAGTCTCTTTAACTAGGAGGTATTCTTCCCACTTTATTTTTCTCTCAGAGTGGCTGGGTGCCAAGGTTAGGACAGTTGTTATGGAGTGACCCATGCAGGAAAACTTACCGTTTTCATTCTGCTTCATCCAGGAATTTGCAGCCAGTCGTACAGAGGCAAATCCACCATGGTCAACCAGTGCTCAGGCAAGGCAGTGACCCGAACGTCTCCACATTACTAAAGGAGTTGAAGCAGATTGCGAGTCCTTCATCTTCAAGCAACACTACGGTTTCAAGGGAGAAAGCTGTCACTGTGGAAGCCAAACAGGTACAACCTTCAAGGCAAGCTACTGTAGCTTCAACCAGTGTTGCTGCATCTACACTGCTCTCTGTCACATCAGCATCCCTGGGCCGCCAAATCTCAGTGTTGCCAGTGGCCACGGCAGGATGCAGTGGCAAGGTCATAGCACTACCTGCAAACGTGACACTCTTGCCTGCTACAACATCGGTTTCAGCCGCTACGTCGTCTGCCACAACCACAAACACCACCAGTGTAGTGGGAGGAGCAAAAGCAGTCTCAGAGGTCTCGCCTTCCAGGGCGAGTCCGCATAGCATTCTGCAAAAGCTCCAGCAAAACCTGGGTCTGACGGTGAGGCCAGTACAGCAGAAGGAGAAGCTAGACAAAGACAGTACTGCTGCATATGGAAGTCCGTCACAGAAAAACATTCCCACTGATGTCGCCACTTCTTCAAGTGAAACAGCGGTGTCCAGGAACAGTGTCATTACCATACCTTCGGGTCTGAGCATAACAAGTGCACCAACAAGGGTGTCTACAGCTGATAAGATAGCAAACAAGACATCCGAACAAGTAGCAGTTATAGAGCTTGGCAAGGTAGGCCAACGCCAATTGCCTCTTCAGACTGCCAAACCAACAATAGCATCAGCAGTGAGCACTGCATCAGGCATGCGTGTCAACACGGCCATGTTGCAGCCCACAAGCCTTGCAGCAACACAAGCTACTCTTCAAAGAACAATAAGCACGAGTGGGTCAGCTCCAAGAACAGTGCCCCCTCAGCACCAAAGGCCCGTTGGCAACAGCAAACATGTGGTCGATTGGAGGCCCACACAGAGTCTCCCCGCACATTCCTTCCCCTAAAGTGTCTGGTGCTGCGACAATAGTTTCAGGTTCAAGGTGTGCGGCGCCACCTGCATCGAAATCCACTACCGTAACGACAACTTCCCACAGACTGTTGTTACCAAGGCTGCCTGCGGGAGTGGTTCGGCCGGCTAGCACAGTTCCTAGGCATAGTGCACCTCAGCAGCCACCTTTACAGGTATATAATCTTATGTATCCGACTTCCTACATGCATATAATGATATCCTGTTGCAATTTGTTATAGCAGCCATTTACAGTTGTATTCACGTTCTTAGTGATCTTTCATCGCTTTCATTTAAAAAAAAAGGAATGTTAGCAAGCTGGTGCATCTCAACAAGCTTGTAGTTGTGAGTGTCAAGACTAAGTGTCACGACTTGTCAGCAAAATGAGTAAAAGGGGTTATCAGCAATATTGAGCATGTCTAAAATATCTTTTCAATTTAACAATTTCAGTTTATTCAGAATTGAAATACAAGTGATACAAGTGCATGTGTTATGTACAAATACAGAAGGAGGTCTCAAAGGCGCGAGACTGTGAGTGAGACCTCCTATAAAATCATACATGAGAGATACAATGCAATAGTAAAGAGTGGTAAGGAAAGAAAATTTAAGGTATACAGAATGTACAGATAAGCACGAAATAGCGAACGTAAGTTATAAAACGTTCGCTGTTTTGATTCCTGTATTAATAAATCTTGTCACTCAAGAGGGAAAATAAAGTTTTGCACACCTAAAATTTCTTTTTAAATCTAAAAATGTACTAAGACACGTTGCCGGGCTAGTTGGTTGGGGTTCATCATTTTTAAGGGTATAGCACACCACGACAGGGACACAAAAACAGAGAGACGCACACACACACAGCGCACGAAATGTAAGCTGAAACTCAACCATTCACTTTCTACTGAGCACTCGTAAGCTGGACCTATTAGGTATGAGTACCCTGGCCTAATGAGCTATTTGCTAACTAAAGCTGCACTGAGGACGAAACATCAGAGTTGAAGGCGAGGCGGTTGCAAACCAACAATGCGCTTTTTCGTTCTTGTTCCACCCTGGTGTCTCGTCTTCAGCAGAGTTCTAGTGTGTAAATAATGTTTTACCAACTATCCTCCCAACGTATCTTTAAAAGGCCTGCAACACTTTTTCAAGTAGCCACAGAATGGATTCACTAAAGGAACTTATTGCTTCAGGAATTTACCGCTACAAAAATTTTTAGAATCCGTCCAGTACAAGCTGAATTAATAAGATTTGTCGCACGCTGCAATTGCATTCTCTCTCTCGTCTTGACAAAAGTGCTGGAAGCTTAGCAGGAAGGGTTGGCATGGGAAAAGACAGTACGCCTCGTGACCTTGAGCATGTTTCCCTTTCTCTTTTTTTTTCTTCGAACACACGACTTTCCAGTGCAATCATGCACCCACAGTGGCCTGAGTAATGACCAAGTGCATCAAGCTCAAATCAATCAATGGTTGATACGACTGTGACGAGGGATTTTTTAGCTTGTATCTTCATTTTCCGAGAAAAGAGTAAGCAATTTTCGACCGACATTGAAAATTTATTGTGAATTTCAGGTTATGTGCTGTGCCATAATATTTGTATTGTGTGCTCTTGTGAGCCTCAACTACTGATCAGCAGCGTTTTCTGACCATACTCAAAAAGTGTTGCAAGGCACCTTTAATAACGAACCCCAATATCTGCTTGCAGAAATACCTTCTAGATTCACTTTTTTCTAAGAACATTCAATGAATCAAATGCTTTGACTGCTGCTTCTTTTGCTCCTGTTTCATCTGAATTGAAAAGAAGTGGTAATTTTACAAGCTGTTCCATCTTTCGGATTTGTATGCTCAAATCATGCGGCATTTGAAAATGCAGCATGACTCGACCAAGCCCTTTCTCAAGGTTGACATGTGTACGTTTAGAGATTAAGCGTAGTTGTCTTTTGTTTTATTTGACAGGCTGCCGCAAGCGTTGCACCAGTATCAGTGCAAACTACAACGCTGCAGAATGCTCGGTGGCCTCAGCACCAGCAGAATGTGCAGTTGGGCGTGGTTGTTCCTGGACTTCGCGTGGTGCAGGCGCCCAGCTTTCAAGGCAGAGCGGTGGCTATACCACCGCCACCGCCCCTCCAATGGTGTAGTTCCACTGTGACAGTTGGGAGACCTGTTGGTGTCAATGTCTGGCGCCCGCACGTCGCAGTTCCTCCATTCCCATGGGGAGGCTTTGCACCACAAGACCCTCGCCTTGTGGCTGGGGCACACCCAAGCGGACAACGAGTGCTTCCTGGGCAAGCCTGCGCCTGCACAGCAGGTGTCTACACAATTTCTCGTCCTCAACCTTCCAACATAATTTGTTGGACTGTACATGCCTAATATGTACAGTCGAGCCCAATAAGAGTTGCAACGTGCTTCCCGTGATCAAAGTGGCGCCAACACTGTGCAACGGCGCTGATATAGACAGCAATCAGTGACAGTGACGTAAACTCTGTCTCGATAGCTGATGTGTTCAATTATCCTGCTCAACGACACTGCAGTAACGTAAAAAATGGATATGCTAGCCATTTATAGTTCACCATTGTAAGAAGTGCACACGTGTTTCCCATGTTTCAAAGAACAAAATTTATAGGAAAATAGAAGAAGGAAGGGGAAATTTTAGAAGCCCTTTGGATCCATAACGAGGGTGAAAATTGTGTCAGTTCACCCTCTCTCCTGCTAACGAAGAAAGAAATAGACTTCTTGAAAAAAAGATTGTGATTAGCGAGTGTTTTATGTGCACACTGTTAGTTCAAAAAATTTATAAAAAGCTGGTTTTCTTGCAATAAACAATTAAATTGGCAGTCACTGCTTGTCCCGTGGTCTTCACTTTTTTTTTGTCCTTTTTCCATTCGCACTGAAACTTTCTTTGCTCTAGTTCTGCCTTCAACTTACTACTACTACTTTATAACCAATTTAATATTTCTCAAAGTTACAGTGTAGGCTTGGGGCTCTCTCAACCATGGCCACAGTGTTGCAACTCATATCGAGCACCACTGTACTTAGAGGCCTCTTTTTTAAAATAGTAATGCAGCGATGGGCTATTCAGAGGAAGGGTTCCATTCTCTCATCTGACCCTGCCATGTGTTTGCTAATTAAAAAGCTAATTTATACAGTCCAATTAATTACTAACATGTCATTAGTCATCTTAAATGACTGCCGCTAAAGAAAAAAATTGTGAAAGTGGCAAGTATAAATTTTTTTTTTACTTTTGAGGATTTTCGGACGCATTTCTTGAGACACCTGATTTGTGTTTGTATGTGTGTGTGTGTACAATTGTACTGATAAATTAGGTTCAGAGTACTTTTTTTTCTTTAAATACATTGCATGCAAGTATGTTGGCAGAGCCTTTTTCACTGTCATCTTTTGCTTCCTGCTGTAGTTTGTGTTATCCCAAGGCATTGTATTGCAATGTCGCGTCTAGGTTGCTGAAACTTCAAGAAAAAGCTAATAGATGGTTCACAGCCCGTTGGTAAAGTGCTCCTATCATCCTTTTTTTTTTTTCATGTTCATAATTTTAGCTTAGTTTTAACAATGCAGCAAGAACAAGCTTATTTGAATGCACTTTTTTGTCAGCAAATTGCTTGTACCTTATTTATTGGCATGCACCACTTACTGGCATTGCTTGATTTAGTCTTTTGCACTCTCTGCCCACTCTCTCTGCAGTGTCTTTTAGGCAGTGGGAGCACTGTGTTAAGCATAATGCAAGACATTATTTAATGAAGGAGAGACTGTACACTTAATTACAATTTTCAACTTACAACTGCAAAGACGTTACGATGTTAGGTTGGCAAAGTGGATTAACCGTGCTTGTGTATAGTCACATGCAGCCATAATAATGTATGGAGCCCTGTTGTATTTAACACTTAAGAACCTCTCAGAAAAGGTTGCTTGTGTCGTTCCACCGAATAAATTTCACAGATGAGACTTTGTGACAGAATTGGCTTGAATGCTGACAGCCAATGTTCAAAAAGCAGATAGTTTGACTTACATCCTTAAACATACTTTTCTGAAAGGTTGTGTGTGTTGTTGATTGGCTAAGTATTGCGTGCTTGAAGCTGAAATACGCTGTAAATGTGTTGCTTTTTTCTCTCTCTCTCTTTAGCAAATATTGCCCCAGCCTCCACCATACAACAGATAACCCCCAAGTTCACCCTGGGCATCTCCTCTTCTGCCTTCTAGGTAGCATCGACTTTGATGGACCCTGGCAGTATTATGTTTCCAAGGCTAGGTTCATTTTTTGTATAGTGCATTTAATATTTTCTATATGCATGGTATGTATTGTAATTTGGTTCAGCTCATTCAGTATATTGAGTGCAAACAGCGTACTAATATGCCCAGTCTGGCTTATACCAAAATTATGAAGCTGTTCTCTTCCTGTTGGGCTTGAGCAGGATACCAGATAAGCACATGTGTGACACCCAAGTCTCAAATACATGATAAGTAAAGCCTTTCTATTGGCAATGCTATAGAATTTCTAAAAAGTTGGTCTTATACTTGGCCTGACAAAGACTGGTTTCCTTGTCAAAATATTGACTATAAAGTACCCACTCGTCTACGTGCTGTTGACCACCTCAGGTTTCCAGGTACCAAAGTACTTACATTGCTGGATTAATGGGTTTGTAAAGGAAATATCAAAACAGTTTTATGTGTTTAAAAGAATGTGCTTTGGTCAAAAAAAATTTTAATAATAATTCTTCAAAGTGCCGTGCATATAGCACAATCAGTTCTAGTGACTAATACATGTTTTGTCACTTGTGTTTATTAGTAAAGTTACAACAAGGGGTACATACTAGATTAACTATGTTTGCAATATCGCATGTGGCATGTCTTTCACTCCACTGACATGAAGCATGGCATAATGCGATAATATATCCTTCAAAAAGTGGATATACCTCTAGTGCTTTTTTGGCACTTTAGATAAAAGCCATTGTTTGCCCTCCTCTGTTATGCAGAAATACAGAGCATGTACATGAACTCAGCAAAAAGGAGCAAGCTAAGTAATTTACTTATTAACACCTCAAACATCTTGGCTTGGGGATTACATAAGAGAAGAGGAACTTCCTGAGGGATTTCAAACGACTAACAACACAAATTCAGGAATCTAAACTTCTGTACTTGACATTCACCATGATAAGGAAGAATAGCATAGCACCTCCAAAGTGACTGTACTTATAAGTTCATTTTCCCACGTTAAGTCTGCGCAAGCATTTGATCAGACCTGAATGTGAGCGGTCAAGTCTTATGACTATGTTAAGCTTCAGGCATAGTCCTAATGCTTTAGGGTGAGAATCTTCTCAACATATATACATCTTTATAGCACGTCTATGTGAGTTTATATCATTTATTCAAACAAACTGCACATTCAAAGCACGCAACTCATCTCGCTGCACTCACAGCAATACAGTTGCTCATTGTGCAAAACTTGAATACTGAGCAAGGAGTTCTGCTGGAAGACCCGTTTTGTATTGCGCTCCCAAGGACATGTGCAATGTTGAGTTCTAGCACTAATGGTTGGCCTATGAAACTGGGAGATTCGATGCAATAAAAAAAAAAAAAACAGTAGCGTTTATATTCTGTGCATTAAAACAATGGTGATCTTAAGACATGCATCGAAACATATACTTGTGGCTTAGTCTGCATTTTCCTTCTGTTATGTTTTAACGAGGAAATCAACGAATGGAAAGGGTGGTCGCAACTTATTCTGTAAAAGAACATTGGCTAAGTCGCAAACACCACTGAAATATATACCCAGAAACATGCGCTGTCTCATGACTGTTCAACCTTTCAACTTTTCTCTTGGCACTACTTCTGCTTGGCTTGCACCTCGATCTTGTGTGCATAGATATGAAAAACGCTTCCCTTTTTTAATGCTTAGTATGTGTGTTGCTGTTGTCTTCATAGTGTATCCCACTTCTTTAAGGGATGTGTAGACAAAGACAGGTTATTCTCTTACAGTACCTTTTTCATGTCACAAATGTTAGGTCTTATTGTAACATATCTTGTACATAACGCACTTGCAGAGGGATGTCGCATTGGTTTAACGTTAATGTCACCATTCAGAAGGCAAGATTACAATGTAAATAGCCTCTCATATCTGTGTTATACTGTTCGTAGTGTAAGAGAATGAACGTGAAGCTATTGTTATGTGTTGTGTGAATAGCTTTTTTAAACTATATTGTCATCTTAAGGCTGTATTATTGTCACGGTATTTGTGAATAGAGGGTACACCCCTTTATTTCTTGTATCATTTTGTATCTGTGCTATAACACTAGTCTAGTTATATTACGTGTTTTTATCGCAATATTGTTCCTCGTGTCTTGTGAATAGTGTCTGCATCTTGTTAAATCACGTTGTCATGCACCTGGTACGAAACTTGAAGATTATGCAATGGGATAATGTTTTTATCACTTTAAGTTTCTTTTATCTTTGACATCTGACCTAAAGCACCTCACTCATATTGTGTACTTGTGCCAAATTGGCAGTAGTGACCTTCACATGGAATGCAAAGATTTCAAGATAGTATTTAACTGTACAATCTTCAACCAAGGCTGACCATGCTCTTTCATTGGTGATCGCCAATATCCAAGAAATAAAGCTTCGTCAGGAACAAAGAAAGGCAGAGCTCCTTGCTGAAAGTGCCAGCCACTATTCGGTAACCATTACCCATGTCTTCTGATTATCACATCTGTGCATCAAATCATTTGTAGAGGTTGTAAAACTTTACAAGATGTCCAATGTGATGCTTGTTTAGCAAACACATAGTTAGGCTAGATTCACATGGTTTATGAAGATAACTGCTGTTAAAACATGGAATCTTTCAAACCTTCATTTCTTGGATACTTGAGACATCTATTGCCTTTTCAGAATGGCCATATTATACATTATTTTTCTGCCCTTTCGCCAGCAAAATATTTGGTAATCATTATGTCATTATGACAGTCTTTGAGGCAGATGATCATAAGTTTCAAGATGTGGATAAAAGAGCATTATATGACACAACAAAAATTTTTCGGATCACGCAGTTAAGGGTGCACCTTTACACTGCAACTGTGCATATCAGGTGAAGATGAACTGCTTTCGAAACCACAAGACTCAACCACCACAAAATGCAGTGTATGAACTGAAGCACAAGCCAGAGTCTGCAAACAAGTTTTCTGTCCTGCTGAAAGCAATTATGACTTGCTTTTTTTATAAAAACACCTGAATAATGGGACATTAAACACAAGACATTTCCATGGATTAAGCCATTTCTGTCAGCATCTGGTACTTGTTTCAAAACTTTATGACAATTCCACTAATATGACCATTCACTTTAAAACCATTCAGTGCTGAATATTGTTGCTTTGGCTTTGCTTTGCCAAAACATTTACACTCATGCACACCCACTAGATACAGTGTAGAGTCCCTTACTTGCACAGCTTGCAGCGTGCAAGCATGGATATGCACGTGGCAGGATGGGAACACTGTGAGCAAGTGTGATTGAGTGTAGAGCATGATGTGTGCTATTGTGGTGGTTCGGCGTGCCTGCGTAGTGCCGGTGATCACAAGGTTTGTGGGTTTTATTCGCATCTCACCTGGCCCCATACCGAAAGGTTAAAGGGAAAAGTAACCCGAGCTTGTTTTGTACCTGTTCTAGAGAAATTCGATGCAGCATCTCTCATTGCCTCTAAATTCCATCTTTTAATTGGAGCAAAATGCTGTCTAGTTTGCACCTAGCTTCTGGAATGAGTATGGCCGAGAAAAATGTGCGTGTCTCTGTTGATGCTACTTATTCTTAGAAACCGTGTGCGTTTAGGATTTGCGTA